TAGTTTGCTCGTAGTGCCTGTCCATGCCACACAAAACCATTGCCCTCTGACGCCGCCTTAACGCATAAGGTCCATAGACTTGTGGGTACACCATGAAATATCTCTGCCACAAATAAGTGCATGTGGTTGGTTATAAAAAGAGCCACAGTTGACAAAAGTTCTTTGAAGCACGGACCTATAATGTTTGAAGAGACTGATATTCCATGTTGTACACAAATTATTTTGTAAACAAGTTCTCCATGTAGGCCTATAGCGGGAAAATCGAATAAATTCCATTAAAACTATATATCGGCATGCATTTTACCCCTCCTTGACAACCGGCGTCAAATCCTTAATAATATTGTCCGGATTAATGCTTTGTGTGAGATTCAAGTATCCGAACGAAATGAAAAATTGATCCCTATTGCAGTCTGCTGCAGTGTATAATGAGTCCCAATTCTATATCACAGTAGGACCCGTGCGTAGAGGGGCGTTTTCTAGTCACCATGAAACTTGTTATGATATGTGCTTTTGTTATTGGTATTGGGTGGGTTCATTCTTTACAGGATTTCTAGTATTGTTCTGGCCTGGTAATATTGACCAACCTTGAAGGCCATATAAGGGAACACGTGCCAGTTGTAAGTACTGAATAAACGTTGGTGACTTGGCTGTAATAAAGAAGAGAGTTGGGCTTTACGCTCGATTTTGTGGAATGGAACCTATATTGTGTGGTGTCTTTTTCAAAAAGGAATCAATATGTTCTTGCTATATAGACGGGTTTCAAAGTAGCACCGAAACCGAGGTCTTAGCCGTTAATACAAAACTAAGGGACATTTTCCCATTTTTATCTCCCCGCAAACGAAAAAGAAACGATGCTAATTTGAACTTCGTCTATTCCGTGCTACAATCCCGGCCAAAATGGTTGGGACACTTCCTGAGCCTCCCCCGGTCAATGTTGTTCTCTCCAGCTGATGGAGTACACACCGCGCAATGAGAGACAACATTGAACGGGGGCCGGGGTGGGGGCCCAGCGAGATTTGGCCTGGATTGTAGCTAGCACCAAAGTTAAGTGGCGAGCAAGCTTGCCAGACGAGTTTGCCAGACGAAAACAAGACTAGTTTCAAACAAAGAGCAAAGAAATAACTGCATTATGCCTCCGCACAGTAGACAGAGGTAACTGTCATCGGCCAGCTAAGGGTGCAGACCTACAAATCGACTATTATGCCTCAGTGATAATTACGGGTACTTCCGAGAATTAATAAACACATGCACTCACAACACTCCAAGGTGTTTGGGACACCCACCAATTAAAGCTTATTCATAATCTTTCATTTTCTGTTCAATGTTTGTTCAATTATCCGATTACTTTTGGGAGAAAATTCCATCCAAAGATGGTCAACCCGAAAAAAATTCCTGTGGCAATTTGCCATTTTGAAAAGTGATGACTAGGCCTACATGCGCTCCACTGCAAAGTAGAGTCATTTTTAGGTCCAGTTTCATGCGAACTTCACAGAAATACGAGCTCACACTCCTGTGCACGGCTTCCACCAATCATTTTTACAAACCTTCAAGTTCGTGGTCCACAAAATGCTCTAACAGCAAATAAATTGAGGGCATACAAATTGTGTTTTGGCCTGCGTAGGGAATTCTCGGCCTATTTTTACAGGTATACACTCCAATGCCTACCCAAGCTTTTCTATTCATGTACAAACAGTCCTTGCGCTTCAGCAAGTGAAACCGAGCTGCTGCACTAGGCGTCAACGTCAACATTCATCACCGAGTGCTGCTGCACAAACAGAAATTAACTTCCAGAAATAAACAAACGATAGAAAATCATGAACTCCGAGAAATCAGACTAAATAAACCTCAAGGACCATTGAGAGCGTGCAGCTGCCCTGAACATTGAAGGGAAAATCCGGGAGAAAAACACGGCTGCTAATAATAAAAGCCCTACTAAAAAATAAAACCGGATCCAACCGGAGTATATAATGGGCGTTGATCATTTCGCCAAAATTGGGACCGGGAAATTATTGAACTCATAGAATATGACATGAACTGAAACCATAAAAAAGAGTATATTCTATAGGCAATGTAAAAAAAACAACCTATATTCCTGACTTGGTAAACAGGCCTCCTGCAAAGTTATTGTTGCATGCATATCGTGGTTATACAGAAAGGGGAAACAAATTGGAAAAAAGAGGAGCCCTATACATAACATGTTGATAGTAGGGTGGAGTAGGTATTCTGGACATATTATAGCCGACTTGTAGGTTTTAATATAGTTCTGGCTATTGTCTATTTTTGTGGTATTGTGCATATTGTATGTAAATTAAGCAAACACAACGAAAGCAAATTATGGACATGGGTCTTTTGCACGATTAAATTGAAAGAGAGGCTAAACTGGCGAAGCACGGCTACTTCAAATGGATTCTTCTTTCAGCTTTATAGAAGCGTAGTAACCCGACATAAAAGTCGTTGGTTTACAAGCTTGTTCCAAAATAAATGATGACTCCGTGCTAAGAGCAGATAGGCCTACGCTGCAGTCCATCCCTGAATTCTATACGTATAGTTAGACGCAAAATGTATTAACAAAATTCGATTTCAACAATACCTACACAGTTTAGCAGTCAAAAAAAGCGAAACCCAAATTTCGGGACTATTGTTTTAGTGAAGTTCTGCATGTAGCACTTTCAAAATCTAGGATATGAAAGCCCAATTCATAAGCTTTCTTTTAGTACAGATCATTCAAATCACTTGTGTACTTTTCAAGTTACGGAATTTTAAACACAACCACCGTTTTAAAGTTCTATCCGCGAATCACAAGAAGGTATTAAGTGTTATTTCAGCAAAACGAAAACGAATCACATAGGTATGTGTGTGAATTGTTTTCGTTTTGCTGAAAGAACGCACACCTTTTATGTGATCCAAATTTTTTTTTTTTTTTTTTTTAACTCTTCATGGAAGATTGTGAGTCACAGGGACAGAATACATTGACGCGGGCTCAAGATTCGCATGGTGCTAGCTCCATGGTGTGAGGTTGGGGCTTTATTTGAGTGTCTTCAAATGGTTGCAAGGAAGCAGTGGAACACTGGCCGGGTTGAAGGACGATAAAAGGGGTAGGGGTTGAGATATGCAGAAAGGCTGCGTTCCGAAGACGTATACGCGTACAGGGTAGGATAAACTCTGTGGTTGGCCCATTAAATTGGGATAAGTGGTTTGGAAGAGGTGCAAATATTTATTGAAAGTATCATGACAGCTATATAGGAACTATTTATGTCAAGTACGAGGCGGGTTCAGCTAGACCAAAGCATAATACGAAACATGGAGACTCGACTCGACAATGGCAAAGTGGTTAACAGGCTGGTGGAAACCAAACGCAATTAACCTGCCGCTTTATTATTACACAACGTGTAAAGAAATTGGGTTTTAGTAAACCGCCTAACAGACTGGTTTGAGACCACTGACCCTACAGAATTATAACACAGATATTATTTGGTCAATGGGCTTACAAATGACCTGTCTTTGGTTTCCACAACAAAGATTATCTTCCTGTGCAACAACATTAAAGTGGGACTAAAAGAACACACCAGTTTAGTCAGTTTACAAAAGTGCTAGACCTTGTGCGCGTCGAGCCTCCGATGAATATTCTGACTGCACTATACAGAGATTACAAAAGTGGACCTCAGGCATTTGTAGAACCTCTGTCTCCTAAAGGACAATTGCTTGCGGGAGTGAAAACTGTGCAGTTTACCTTTGTTTATGCAGGCTGGTGGCAGGTCCACGTTTCAGTCAGACAAGGACTTATAGTGTGTGTGTGATAACGCCGATTGCCTGGCTACCCGGTGTGGAATAAAACCCAATGCTACCGCCGCGGCTTGTTTGAACGCATCTCTCAATTCTCGTGCAACAACTACAAACTGCTTCGAATCTAATTCAACTTTGAGACTTTCAAACTTGTACATGTAGAGTCCCGATACACAGCGATTGCAGATAGGTAGAACAATCAAGCCAACTTTACTGCAATGCATTTGCGCCAACAAAGGTCTTAAATAATGTCCACTGAAGGCAAAGGTGAAGTCAGTACATATCCCTTTTGCACTTCAGACATCTTGGAGGAAACTGCTTTTGTTCTTCTGAGATATGCTGGAGGATAAATTTCGTGCATTCCATGTTACTAACTAACTCTCCAAGATGGCCGCTTTGCAATACCACTACAGCCAAGTTTCAGGTTTAAATTCAAATTTTGAAGGACAGTTTTTTTTGCACCATAGTGATATAAACTTGAAGATATGGTAAGACTATAGACAAACAAATACAAGCAATCCGAAAGATGGACAATTAGTAATTTTTATAGTGGCGTGATTGTGGAAACAGAGCCAGATGTAATTTTTGAGTAAAACTTTCTGCTACATAAGTGTTTTCCTTCTTAGAGTTAAGGCTTTCTCCGGAAGACGGTCAGAGCATACTGACCGGAACGTCGAGTTTATACCTCTGGTTCTTTTCAGAACATTCTCTTAGTTGAGAAATTATTCGCACATGGTGTTTCCGCAAACCTTTCATTATTCATTATTTAAAACTTTAGTCGTGCAATAAAAAAGACAAGTTGGACAAGTTGTGTCGTGCGCACGTCCTGATTTTCTGACAAGGCAGATACCCGCGCGTGATGACTGGTTCCCAAACTATAAACGCACAGGCCCCGCTGTTCCTCTAAAAACCATGGAGGAAACTTATAGCAGTACTGTGTGCCGTACCATACATTTATCTCCACCTGTTCCCGGCTCCACAGTTCAGTTTGTTGTCCACCGACGCAGTCAACCGTAAACATCGATCATTGTCCCCGCAAATCGAAACAAGTTTCTCGTGTGCTCGTGCGACAATAATTGCGCCATACACATAATGCCCTGAGCACAATGGCGAGAGCCATAGGCAATTTACACAACTTCATGGTTGTTGGACAAAAATGTCTTCGTTTTGAAAATCAAGACTTGCAGAAAGGAGAGAGATGATTTTGAAAAACTTACCACGGTGTCGTTGATGTTGTTGAATGTTCCGGCCGACACTAGTGATGCTATGAGGAGAAGTAAGGAAACCACAGCTGACAAATGCACAAGGTCCTTTGTTGAACTGTCAAAATGACCCATCCTGGTTGGACCCGTTGTTCTCATAAAAGTTGATGGTCATTCAAACTCTTTAAGTAATGGTTGCCTTGTAAAGTTACTCTACATACAAGTACGATTGTATAAATAGCTTCAAGTGGCCCCAACTTGAGAAGGCATTCACCGGATGATCAGACTAGTAACCTACCGTCGGATCGAGCATTTCTACGGGTCTGTGTAGATCCCCTTCTCGGTACATGACGTCTGTTCGTATAAATAACTTCGCCAAACAATCCGGGCTCCGTCGATTTAAACTGCGCAGGTGGATCGGGGCCTTTGTTCGCGATCGAACAAAGGGAACAGGTATAGGCCCTATAATCGTATACGTCACCTACAAGGTCACATGATATACTTCGTGACTAATGGCCCAGGCACGATGTTTAAACGTGAACTGCAAGGGGCTAAAGCGTCTGGACTTTTTATGATGAACGATAAGTTTGTGTGACTGTTTCAAAGATCTGGGCACGCGGTGCTGAACCCCACTATGATAGTTCTCCAAACACAATACATCTCGGTTGGCTAACCCATGGCTAGACGAAGGGGCCGGGCGGGGTGGGTTAAATAGTTGAATGGGGATATCAACATTTATATAATAGATAGTTGAAGAGAGACATGATTAAAGGGTGTTATGAGGACAATAACTTAATTAGGGATAGGGTTGGTGGGTGTTTACATAAATGTGGAGGCCAGTGGTATAATTCACATGTTCTTTCCTTTCATGGGGCATTTCCATGTTAAAATAACCAACTTGCTAATATTTGTGTTTTTACTTTATTGCCCATAATTATCACTATGTACCCACTGAAAAAAAAAAATTAAATCACCACAATGCATTTGTATAATTTTGATCGAAAATTAGCCAGAATTATGACATTTTTAGGTAAAATTGCGTGACATTTTTACAGCTTGTCCAATGGTGCACAGTTTTCATTCTTTCAATTGATAAATTTGATCCTTTTTAATTCTAAATGATTGATGATAACCCAAAACTTAATAATAAACACAACGTTCGTGCATCGGCAACTTTGTATCATTTTGACATGCCCGCTAAAAATACCATCACCCTGTAACATTTGGTGTCAGCAAATCCTGTTACAGGGTGAACTTTACCATTGATTATAATATTTGTAGAAACTGTCAACTATTCTAAATTTTAAGTGATTATTGAAGTCTTTTATTAAATAAAGAGACTAAAGAAGACCAAAAGTGAAATTCAAAGAAGTACAAGAAATATACCAATTTTAAATATTGGCAGATCAATTTGGTGTCATCAAAAAACGTTACAGTGTGATACTTTGCAGCTGCACTCTGAATTTGTCAAACTGTATTTGTCAACAAGTTTAACTAAAAATATATCCTGGATGTTGGCTTGGAATATAGATGTCATTAAATTTTGAATCCTTCTCTTAGAATTTGAAATAAGAGGCAATAAAGGTTTGGTGTTAACACTAACTCCGTTACAGGTGAAATACCTATTTTCAGCTGAAACAATGAAGCAAAAGCACCTGTTTGATTGATGATTGAGTTTTTAGCTAAAATAATGACTAAGTTTTTTAATACAATGAAAACTTTGGCATAGGACAGGTTAAAGTAGAACTACAGTGAAGAAAAGTGATAAAAGTGTTTTTGGTTTTGGTGTCAGCGTTACAGGTGAAATGATTATTATAACAAACTCTGATATTTAAACTTCCAGTCCCAGAAACAAGTATCTGATGTAGAAACCATCAAGCTTATCACTAAATAGAAAGGTTTAAGTGGTTTGATACCATTTATTACTATTATTATTAGTTAGTTGTAGGATTGTCACTCTGTAACAGTGACTATTTGGTGTCAGCGTTGCAGGTGAAATGTTGGTTAACACCAGGCTTTACTTACAATAACATGCTTTCTAGTGGTATTTGTAAATCTTCATTGTTCTTCATAGTTGCAGTTTTGGCTGTCAAACTTGCTTTTAGAGAACAAGTGAGTGTTTGTCTTAAAATAATATGATTTTATGTCAAGTGAGAGCTACATTTTTGTAATCATCATAATATGTCAAATTTTCTGAAACTTGATATTTGATTTTCAACAAATGTTGAACAAGGATAGTGTTAAAGATTTTTTTTAACTTATATGTGTTGCAAATAATTGCTTAAAAAGCAACATGTCTTTACCATACCTGAACAATAACCTGGTGAGAGCTCTAAAAGAAATTAACAATTTGGTGTCACTGTTACAGGTGAAATTTGTGTCCCATATGCCAGTTCATCATGTTGCTACTCTAAAAAGGGTCATGTTACAGAAAAATGGTTTTGTTTTTGACAAAATATAGACCCTAGACTGCAAAACCATGTGAAGCTGAATTTAATTTGGTTATTTTGAAAATTTGACCCTAATGTCACACACTGGCCTCCATATTTATGTAAACACCCTGGTGAGGGTTGTGAGAAAGACGAAAAGAGCGGACACTCATGAGGGGCACTTGAGGGGGCTGTATTCTTGTTAGGCGGTTTAATACAAAATTTATTAATTTAGAAACATTGGTTTTACCTGAAAACGTACCTGCCGATTCAATGAGAAAACCTTGCTCAAAGATGAAGATTGGGCAGGTGCCAAATACCCTATTAAATTATTCTACTTGAAATGGCAGTATTAGAGAAAACAACGATTGAATGTGATTTTTATTTTGTACCTTTGCCCGCAGAAACTCTTCTTTTTTTTGACGTGCGCATGGTGCTAGCAATTGCAATTAAAAGTTATGAGGCCCTATGCTTTATGTTTTCGCAAAATGTATAGCAAACACTGCGCGAAAACTTTCATGTTGCTTTTCTATTCCAACTACAGTGCAGTTTAACTGCGTGGGCCGATCAGTACTTTAGAAAGGAAAAAAAATAAGTTTGCTAAAGAGGTGCATGCATATGAGTCATTTCTTGCAAAACACTGTTTATTCTTGCATGACACAATTTAGTAATATACACACATTTCGGTATATTTTCGATTAAGTCGTGATGATAAACATCCACAGAAAGTAACACAGAGGCGTACGAAAACACAAAAAGGTACGGGTTAAAAAAGTGAAAAATCCCCTTCCACACAAATTGTATTTGACAGCTTCACGCTTTACAATTTCTTCCTTTCGGTGCAATGTTTTCCTTTGAAAACTGGTCCCTTTTAAAGGATGAAAAGAATGCATATGCGTGATCTACCAGCTAATCGCACACCGGTAATAATGTCACGCATTGGTTGCAGTGGTGAAAAGAATTGGGGGAGCATATCCCTACGTTTGCGTAAACAAAATATAGCTCGTCACAACTACAAAATAATTGCCGGCTTGAAACTCGCTTTCATTGAAAACGAAATCCGCTGCTTGCGCCAACTGTACATATCTCGAAACAGAGTTTATAATCAAGTCGCCAATAATCATCATGTTTATGTCGCTAGTGCACCTCAAGTCAGTGGCGTCACCAGACTTTTCAGTCTGGGGGGCACAGGGGGGCACCAGCATTTGATGGGGGGGGGGGCACTTAGGTGGATACGGATCGCCGTCCTGGGGGAGGGGTCTAAGGGGAGGGGTGCCCCCCTCCCCTTTGGAAAATTTTCGCATACGGAGGATGGGCTAGATGCAAAATGGTGCCACATTTGATGCTAAATTCGATCTGAAGATATCTCAAGAAATTGCTATTTTTGAGGGAATGATTTTAACAACGCGCAGAATTTTGCAGAGGATAGGGGGGCACCAGCATTTGATTGGGGGGCACTCGGGGGGGCACTAGGTTTTCCAGGGGGGGCACGTGCCCCCCTGGCCCCCCCCCCCCCTTGGCGACGCCACTGCCTCAAGTATAGAGACAACCCTCTCAAACGAGCAAATTACATGAATCTTTTGTCAATGTTCGTCCGAAGATACTTGCAACCAGTGGCATAGCTAGGATTTTTTTTAGTGGCGGGCACAGGGGGTCATCAGAATATTATGGGGGCACATATCGCAAACGTCCTATTGCATTTTTTTCAGTTGGACCGCATAATGGCTCACTATATCCAATGACAAATTGTAAAGAGTAAGACATTGGCTTACTGAAAAAAATACAACTTACAAAAACCCTTTATGGTTGTGGAAGGAAAGGGGGCTTTGTCAGTGTGTTGGTGGGGCGAAACTGGGGGAGGGGGCTCGGAAAATTTGTGGGGGAACGTGCCCCCAGGACCTCCCCCAGGCTACGCCACTGCTTGCGACCTACTTGGATTGACTTGATGATTGTCTTGATTGAAACTATGTTGTGAAAAAGAAAAGACTTATTTGAAAGTAACGACTTCCTCCGTCACTGTTCTTGACTTGTCCTGTTACGTTTGACCTTTCCTAACGGCCTTGCCGATTAACTTGCGATTTACTTGCGATTAACTTGTGATTAACTTGTGATTGACTTGTGATTAACTTGTGATTAACTTGTGTTTGACGCGATTGTACTTTTGTTTACTTACGACCTTGCTTGTGACTGACTTGTGATTTAAGTGTGACTGACGTTGTTATAAATCTGTTTTAAAATGATATGGTAAACCATATGTAAACGAAAGTCAACACAGAAAGCAATACAGTTTGAGATGATCTGAAAAAAGTCTATGTCGTACACCATTATACTGCAGACTTGGCTCCGTGGATAAGGTGATACTCAGATTATAAAAAAAATCCGGCTGTCAGCGAAAAGGTGATGTGCATTGCGTTTCACTGATTTTCGTGTGGATTTTTCTTAATACCATGCAAAGACAAATATAATATCTGCTTTGCAGCATCCGTGGAATGGCATGACCGCCTACCTGGGTATTATGCACACTTCATCCATAACAAAATACGATTGCCAAATGTGGTTCAGTGAAGCAACTAATGGCATTATATACAGGCCAGACAACTCCATTCTTGGTATTCGCCCACGTACCCCGACGGACCATTCATTGCAATATACCTAACAATGGAGCTATAAACACAGATCCTCGGCCTAATCCTACACTTTCCAAATAAATCAGTGACAGTTTGTCATCAACCAAAAGGTTCCTGGATACAAAATACGACACCCAAGCCAACTAGCCAAAATATAGACAGCCCTATAGGCAATTATCGTCAATGCAAGTTGTATCAGTTTCCACGTCTACCATCACGGTATAAATGCATAAAATGTAGCCTGACCTGGACAGTGATGTCTGGTGGCGATGTGTGGTCATCTTTCTTTCTGAGATTTCAAGTCTTAACTTTAAATCGAGGCCTATTCCTAAGCTGTCAATTTGTCGAAAGTCATGCAACCGCGCAACACATACCAACGTATTATATGCGAAAACTGGCAAGTATAGCTCGATATGTGACACAGGGAAACCCGCTCCCCTTTTGTGTTGGTCATTGTGTTACCAGAATCTCAGGAATTCTTTTGAGATTTCTGGCGGATGTTAGGTGACAATAGTCTAGGGGTGTAAAGGGTATAGGGAGATAGGGGAGGGGGTACCCTCTGTCACATATCGTGCTGGGTAGAAAAATTGGTAACCAAACGATGAGAATGGTCTAGAGCCATTCCGAAATTCTAAAAAGCGGATAGCAACATTGCTTAGTACTTCTGCGCTGCATGTCGCCAAAATCAACCAGAGATCTCAAACCCCAAGCAACATACGATTCGTGGGTTTGGACTAATAAATGATTTGGCTATAACCAAAAGGTCTTGATATTTCCGCCCAACACATATGGTTATCACAATAAACTTGATACTTTTAAAGTATTTATTAAAAAACGAAACGGGAGACTACGTACTTCTAGACACTGCAGGAGTGATATCCCATGACCCTTACGGAGACGAATCATTAAGATTTCAATGCCCTTTAAGGTCATCGACCCTTTATTTCTGCATCACAAATTTACAGAGCATTAGCCAAACATAATACTTGGACTTACTGACTGAGGATTATTTACAACACCGACAGACATTCCATCATGGTTCTTCCATCGTTTAAAAGAGGATATACATAAACTCAAATGAAGTGGAAACAAACTTTTTAACATTTAAAATGGGATATACATGTACTTAAATTACCTGGACAAACAAACAAGCCGTAAGAGTCTGATACGTTTAATGCCTGCAAATATTACTCGAGCTGGTCGAAGTATTTCTGCACTTTTGTCTTTGTCAGAAATTTAAGGTTCTATATTAACTGATATTTTAAATTATGTGACCGATTAACTTTTTTTTCTGATCTCTGCCCGGAATCCTCACTTTTGAGACTAAAGCCAAGGCAGCCCCTTGCAAGAACATCCTTTTCTGTAGGTTGCTAAACGAATGCATCACGAAGGCCCACGATTCACCATCAGAAGATGAGCAAACATCAAGTGACAAACAATCCCAATAATTACGCAATTCTGGCTAACATCTTCCCACGCAAACTTGTTCTTTGTGTCGATCACTAATCTGGATCATTCGCTCGTGAGTCAGAAAACGCAGCGCGTGGCTGTTTTGAATACAATATGCTGTGCGTACCTCCTTCAATACGAAAGTTGGTTCCAGAGAAAATTTCGTTTTTCCAAAGGACCAATTATGTTTTGTTCGCATTCCTGGCCTTTCAAATCTCCTGCGCCCACATACTGCTGTCTGGGCCATCGTTAAGAAGTTTTTTACCTTATCATGTCTCTCGAAAATACATAATGTAGCAAGATATGTGACAGGGGGGGGGGGAGATATCTCGGGGGGGGGGGTGCTAGGTAGCAATAGTCGAGGGTGTGTGTAGGGACATGCATGGGGGTACCCCTCTGTCACATATCGTGCTGGGTATACGAAAATCGCAACTGGTCAGGGAAAAGAGTTCCATTGCCTTTGTCTGTTTTAAAGAGTAAGGATAAGACGGATGTTATACTTTCGCAGAAATCCGTTAAGAGCGCGAGTGGTGAAACCTTCAATCTTCCAGCCAGGCATCCCGGTGTTAATTCGCCGTGAATCTTTCAAGCGTAGGCTGTGCTCTTTGTTGTAAGATTATGACATCAAAGGCCTAGTTCTACATGTTCGGTTGTCAAAACCAAAGCCATGAAGAGATAAGGGAAAATGAGCTGCGTCCGAGTTACTTGGATACGACCGGCATAAAAAAAACCTATAGACATTTATCATGCTGCCACCATTTCAGTCATGCTCCCTGTATCCAATAACAGTTACTGAATGATAATGTTTTTGGTGCAAAAAGGAACCAGACTATTTTTCCTTCCAGCCTCGCTTTGGTTACTTTGATTTGAATTGGAAAAAAAATCAAGATGGCCACAACATGATAATGGTCTATAGATCATTTGCATTCATCGCTGTCATCTACGAGGTGTGGTTTTTTTAAATGTCGGTGCACAAAGAAATCTACTCAAAGGTATCCCGCTGAGGTAACTTTTGTTGATAACGTGTCTTGAGGGTAACTTTACAGGCATTAATGGACCTGTTTATCAAATTTTTCAAAATTTTCAAACAGTTAATTTCCTCTATCAGTAGAAAAGTTACCAGCATGCAGTGTCATCGGCATCAGGTCTTCAGATATGAGCATTTATCTTAAAGATTATTAAATAAACTTTGCGGGCGATGTACACGTACATAATTATACATTTCACATAAGACAAAATCCTTTAATATACAATGTCTTTTTAAAAGAGATACTTACAGATAGTCTTCTATTGTTCTCAATTACTTTCTTAGTAACCCTGCATAATCAGATACATTATACTCGCACTCGTATACATTAAAGCAGCAAGGGGCGCTCTTAGAATACAGGGAAGTCGATATTACGATCAGAGGGGCGAACCGAATCCACGCCGACCTGAAGGTAGGATACGAAGGCAGCCGGGACGGTAGGATGTTTCACACGTAGGCAATCGGACCTTTTGTATCGCAGTTAGGGTTAAGCGGCTTCTCTTGTGGACGACAACTTGCTCGCAGTCGCTAACAACAACAACAAAACAAAACACAAAGGGTCTTAATTTATTGTCAGTTTCAGTACTCAATGAAAGCCTTGAATGTGGATCCGCAATAAGATCTGCTAAACCTGATGTAGGTCTAATAAGGCATGTATGATCACTTGCGTTTCATGTATTTTGTTCGTTTCCAATAACATCACCACGACACCACGCAAAATCCAAAAAAGAATGTTCGAAACCTAACCTGCAGTTGAAGTTTCAGCTCATGGATGTTACACTAATGGCGTAAGCAGTGAAAAAATAACTGCATTACCTTTTGATCACAAAACACGATTTCGTAAATAAAACTCTTTATTCTAAAAATCAGTCAATTGACATGATCGTTGGAAATCACCTCCTTTTTTTATTTTTTCGAAAATACAGCAAAGCCAGACGGACTAATTTCACGGGTGTTTAGTACCAGTATATACGATCTTTAATCCAAGTATGCTTTATGAGGTAGGCTACTTTTAGGATGATCCTAGATGCATTTGGTTGCTCACACATTTTGGACTTTCCTCTCGACTTTCTGTAAACTCCTGATTCTGTGATATCAATTGAGGCATGTACTAATAAATGAATTCAAAAGGGACAGTAAACGAGGATTTTGTATATTAGATTACTCCCTTCACATGGTGCCAACAGGGGGCGCCCTGAACCCCGACCGGTCGTAAATCAGAGCCATGAATAATGGTCCAAAACCCGGATACAAAATGGTTCCTTGTGTCATAATGAATGCAGTCTTTATTGTATTTTCGATTTTACATGTCCACTGATACACCCTAAGGCCATTTTGTGTCCAGAGTTGTCACATGCATGGATGCAGCGTTGTAATGTAATTACCTGCATGAATGATCCAGGTGTTTCAATCAGCTTACACACTGCATAGACAGGAACACACATGATTGAGGAGGCGGTGAGAATCCACCCCAAGCACTCGGCCCACTCCGGGTAATCAGGGATGGGCTCGTAGTGCACTAGGGCGAAGATCACGATGAACTAGGCGGTAAAGCCAGGAGAAAAACAAAGGTAGTTAAGAATCTCAAAGAACACAATACAGTGGAAGGTCACTATAACGAACATCGTGGGAGCCACCAAAATTGTTCGTAACAGCGATCGTTCTATATACTAGCGATTGTCATACATTAGTGAAACTCTCGATCTAATGACCATTGTTAAAGTTGAGTTGCATTTATAAACCACGCGCGGACTCGCCAAACATGTCCATTCATCTTTCATTTAGCAGAACTTTATCACCCTGCACGCCCTGGTACTGACTGAACTGATACGACTTGAGCACGGTGCAACTATTGAACCATGTAATTAAGTTAAATGTTCACGGGTTGGTCTTCCGTTTGATCCTTGGGGAAATAATAGCCATTTGTCACTCTTATGTTGACATTTTCCAACAACAATGTTCGGTACGTTTTGTACGCAAAAATCAGGAGCCAAGGCTGATGTTCGGTATAGCCGAATGTTCGGTATAGCGGTGTTCGGTATAGCGACGTTCCACACAGCGCGAGACCGCCGTGCCACGCCCTTTTCCAATGATATCGTCCTAAAATACAAACGAGAGTCAGCAAGTCTTCAACACAAGTTAATTTGCAGTTAAGGGCTGGTTGCCTTTAAAATGGCTTTGTGTTGAGTTGGGATTGGTTTGGTTTATTCAGTTTAAAAGTAGTACTTTGGGTGGAGTCGGTGGGTTTCAAACTTAGGCTACACGGGTTGGTTTCTTTTGGGTTAGGAAGTTGATTTTGATCCTCAGTAGGTTGGCTTGGGTTGGGGTGGGTTGATTGGTTTTCTGTGCTCTGGTCTGGTTCTGTTTGGTTTTCATTAATTGTCTTACACTTCACTTTGATTAAATTCATTTAATTTATGTTATAATTTTTGATTTGATCAACCATGCATGCTTGAGCCAGTTGGTTAAGTTTGATTCCGATAACTTTTGAACTGATGAATTCTATACACGGAGTTTCAAATCGGCGATTTCAGTTGGTTTTTGTTCCGAATGATTGATGAACTATGTTTGGGTGGGTTAGTTTCGATAGAAGGTATACATATTGCCATAATATAAACTTCTTCGCCCGTGTATATAGGCCTATGCATATAATTAATGTTTGGATAAATGGGTTAACAACAGGTGGAGATATACTCACGCATATGGCAGTCGGGCTCAAGAAGCGCCAGCAGATCACCCAGAAGGCACCGGGTTTATGCCCGATCATCGCCTTGATGTCACTGCCCATAGCCCGCACACCGTAGCACCAAGCCACAGCCACTGCCTCCAGGGCGACTATGGCTAGGATAGTTACTGACACGGCATATGCATCGTAGAGCTGGATGACATACTGCCCGCCCTGTCACGGTGAAACAGAAATGAGAAAAAAAACCTGTGGAACATTTGCTGAGCAAAGACAGATTTCGTACAATATGAGAACTTTCTTATTTCCAAGGAGAGAACTTAGGGACCGGACAATCAGAGTGTTAATCGTAAACACTAAAGTGTTTGATCGATAAACTTTGAAAATGAAAAAACTAAGGCGAAGGCTAAATCTACTCGATAGAATGAACTTCACTCGTACTCTGAATCGTCTTGTCCCTAGACTTCCCTCTTGGCATGAAGGTATTCTGTCTTTGGTTTTAAATTATTAGGCCAAACTTTCGTTCAGCCGGTGAAAAATTACTCAAACTCTTCAATTTGTTCACCTGCACGGAAATCTTTAGTAAAAGGCGAAAGATTTGTACGAAAATGCAGATGAGCCAGAGCTTCTCATACTTTCAATTTGATTAGCAACAGCGAAGTAGCTGCGACGGTTCCACATAGCAGTCACGGTATTAAAAAGCGTGTGAATACGTGCCCTCAGGGCGTGGAAGACACGCCCTTCTCTGGGCCCATCCCTCATTGTGCTTGTTTACCCAACTATAGCGTCATAACCACTCATAACAACAGAACTTCTATTGAGCTCCTAACAAAAGAAATTATTCAGCCCGCAGTTTCACAACTGCAGGAACTTTTATAACCCTCCCTGCTTTTTTCAAGTTTCACCCCCGAAATTTTGAACAACTGTTACTTTTCTGGCAAAATAAAACTTAAAAGAAATTGAAAGAACAATTAGCGCACGTATAATTAAGTAGTAACTGACGATTAATTCATATGTGGTGAGAACAATGATTCTTTCTTTGGATTTGATTTATTAGGCCAAACTTTCGTTCGGCCGATGAAAAATTACTCAAACTCTTTAATTTGCCCACCTACACGGAAATCTTTAGTAAAAGGCGAAAGATTTGTACGAAAATGCAGATGAGCAGGAGTTTCTGAAAACCTCTAGATGTTTTTTAACGAGAATGCAACTGAGCGGTGTCTACAAAGAAGTCACAGTATGCTAAGTGCGTGAAAACGGTTCTTCTGGGCAATAAAGACACGCCCCTCAATTGCCCCACCCTGCTCGGCAGTGCACGCTTTGTGTTTGTTCGGCCAAGTATGCATCTTTATCGTTATCAACAAAAGGGATTATTCAGCCCGCATCTTCACACCTGCAGGATGCAGACCAGTAACTCAACTCCGGTAGACCTCAGTGATAATTACACACACTTCCAAAAGTTATTAAAACTACTCACTACTATCCAGGGTGTTTGAGACACCCATCAAATAAAACTTATTTCATAATCTTTCATTTTCCGGTGGCAATAATTATATCCGTTGACTTTTGGAAGAAAATTCCATCCAGAATGATCACCCTAAAAAGTAGTCCTGTGGCCCATTCCCATTTAAAAAAAACAAAACATGCCTGTGCTCCATTGCAAAATAGAGCAATTTTAGGGTCCAATTTCATCCGAATTTTACAGAAATATGACCTTCAAGTTCATGGCCGACAAAATGCTCTAATACAGACAAAATTAATAGAGCACACAAACTGTGATTTGGCCTGTGTAGGCAATTTTGGGCCTATCTACTGGCCTGCTCCCTGCAATGTTGAGTACTCGTTATCATGTCTCCAAACCTTGCTGCCCATGCTCAATGCATATGCTTTCAACTTACGTATGCGACTGTGGAGAGACTGCCGAGGAAGCAGCAGGAGACCAGAACTCCGACAAAGAGGGCGCGCTTCTTGCCGATAGTCTGGGGGAATTTGTCCATCCAGGCAGTGATGATCGATTCCAGACCTCCGAACTGTGGAACAAGAATCGAAATCAAAGTACTTCATAAGGAATGACAAGATACTCTGGGCATAAAGAGGTTAAAGCATTTGAGGGTTCACCCCCGAATGAAAAAAAAACCCCAGAGACACCAGTTCTGAATTCCCATACTTCAGCATTCTTTTTAAAATACTCAGAACTCTCATAGGCGTTTAAGCTGCAGAGGAAAATTATGATCAACATGTCTTTCATTTTCTTTCCAAGTTTTAGTGGGTTGGCCATTGACTTTTCGAGAAATTCTCAGCCAAAAGAAGACGACCTCTAAAAGGAGTTAGGTTTCCTAAAGTGGAAACTAGCCCTCTTGAAAAACGATCCCTCCACAACATGGCTAAATAGCGCCACAACATGGCTAAATAGCATCCAAAAATGCTCAGAGTCGGAAGCCCCAAGCCCAAGCCAGAGGTGCATTACCATATCTCTTCAATTCCCCAATTCCATGGATTTGAGTGTATAACTTTTATTCAAGAGCTCGGCGGACGGATTTTGGGCCCATTTACTGGGGTGGATGGACCCCTGATCCCTCAACACAAATCGTAGCCTGCTCATCTCTCACTGGTGGACCTGAAATCGGGTACGATTTAAAGTTCGGCGGCACTTGTTTGAAGGCCCAAAATCGTAAGGCTGTAAATCAGCACATTTTGCGTTCGGATGGGCCTAAATATAACACAGCCGAAACCTTAACCAGGCAGTCACAAATAGTGTGCATTAATTGTAGCAGCTATATATAGGTAGCCTATTTCTGCTATTTTAAGGTGTGGAAAATTCACCAAAGAAAACAGAAATTAATAGATTTGTGTTCATCCTCATCCTTCTAACATTGACAAATCTTGCCAGGATATAGACCTTAAAGTAAGTTTAGTTTGTTAAAATGTTCAGTATAAGATATTACTGGCCGTCAAAACGATGTCAATTTGACTTCAAAACAAGATACGAAAGTGCAACTGGAGGAGCCATAAGTTATTAAATTTTTGTTTTCTTGCAGAGAAACTGAAATCTCAGTCAACATTAATATATGTGCAGCTTTCAGTCCTCCTATAATCCAAACCTACCGTGCTGTCGAGTCCGAGTGTGATAATCATGAGGAAGAAGACCACGGACAGTACGGCGGAGGCGGGCAGGGTGGCCAGGGCCTCAGCGTAGGCGACGAACACCAACCCGTAGCCTGCTTATACAAATGAAAGAAATTGACGTTTAGTTCCAGACAGTTTTAAAGAGTTTGCTTCTCCCCATGTTCATCGGACCGTGAACTGGAAAGTAAACCACATGACAGCAAGGAAGGAATCTGCATTGGCTCCTACAAGTTTGAAAAAGCTTGTCAGTTGACCCGTAATTAACTTGCGCTGTGACTTTTTTGATGACATGAAAACAACTGTGCGGCTTTGGTAAGTAAATTGCATGGTCGAGTTATTCTGTTGGTTGGATGGAAAGTTCATCGAGATATATTTGTTTGTTGGTCTGTTGATTTGTTTATTGGCAGGGATCGAAGATGGCAGGCTGCATTCCAACATCCCATGGCCAACAGTTTAAGTTAATCAGTCGGTTGGTCAGTTAGATGCATTTGTGGAGGTTTTGTCAATCTGTTAACCATTGTACTACAAGACAGTTGATTGTTTTTGTTGGTCAATCGTTTAGTGTGTTTTCAATATTAGTGACATCTGTCCAGGTTTAATCATGTCTTACCTTCGGTGGCGACTTCTTCGACAGTAGTTTTCTGCCTCATCGCCATGTAACCCAACACTGAGAAGATGGCGAAGCCCGACACGAAACTCGTTGCGCAGTTGATGGCGCTGATCACTAGTGCATCCCTGCCAACGAAATCATACATTTGAATTCTCTGATAGGCTCCATTCCGTGGTTTTATTTTCAAATCGAAATATTATATCATAATATTGGATAACTCCAGAAGAATAAATCTATTGTTTTAATGCAGTGACGATGCAAATTTCCTCAGATTTGGAGGTTGGCGAGTTTAATTGTTTTCATCTCAATCACACGAGGATAAACAAGTGAGACACTATAAATCTTCGAAATGTGAAGAGAAATGCCGTATCCTGCTCGACCTAAGCTGACTTAATGTTTGTACTTTTTTCGCTGAGCTTCAAAGCGAGGGGAAACGGAGAAAGAATATGCTTGAGATATATTCACCAGCCACCTGAGGAATCAGGTATCTGCCGACAACTCAAGACACGCGCATCACTGGCGAGACTCGAACCTCAACCAACAGAAGTAATAGGCCATTTGAAAATATATCTTATTCTTCCCCTTGAAAGTGTGTTGTTGACTGTAACATGGTTATACCTGTAGCAATTATTGTGGAACTTGTTATAACTGGAAAGAGCGAGCATGACGCCGAATCCTGGTCCAAGAGAGAAAAACACCTGCACAGCAGCGTCCATCCAAACCTAGAAATAGAATCCAATTAAGAAGAGAAATTCCACATGATCCAGAGACACAAATTAACGCCAGAAATTCTTGTCAGAAGATTTTTCCGTAAATGATGTTGAAACCTTTAAACGTCAGGATTAAGGTATCTTTCGTGGTAATGATTGAAAAGTTAGCGTGATATGATGCAGCGATTTTCTATAAATGGTTGTGAACCGCAATTCTTTGAGTTTGCGCACACGAAACTGCTCAGTGGACTGCGTCAAACTATCCATAGACTCGGGGACAGATTATACTTGTTCACGAAAACCGTATCCAACTAGGTCATGCCTAGACTTTGTCGACGTCACGGGAAAGTTTCTCATCAACACCCATAGATGCGGTAGTATGTCATCGAAGTCGTCGTGGTCGTTGTCGTCATTGTCGTTTTCGTGGTTGTCATTTGGTCATTTTGTCATTAACGTTTTTGCTGTGACTGTTGCTGTCGCTCTCCTTTGGCCTATTTTTGTTTGTAACATTGTATACGTTTTGCAATAGTGACGTGTTATTGTAGTTGAAATGGTGATGTGCAGTAATCATAATTACTTGGAGTTGCTGATTAAGCATGTTTTAACGAACGTACCCCGGGTACCAAAAGCAGCTCCCACTTGGGATTCAGGTAGAAGATGATGCCGTCAACGGCGCCCTCTAACGTCACCCCGCGCACCAACAGCACGGTTAGGCAGATGTACGGTAAGGTGGCCGTCACCCAGACTACTTTCCCCGACGCCTTGATGCCTCTCCAGAGGCTCAGGAACACGACCACGTACACTGCCAACAAGCAGAGAGACAGGTCCCACTTGACCCCGCCTAGGTCCTCGATGCTGCGCTCGGATGTCAGTCCGAGGACTTTGAATCTGCCAGGACAGGGAAGAGACAAAAGAGATATCAAGAGGCTTGCCAAGACAAGCTACTCCCAAACGTTTTACATAGAGTTTTAGGTATGGCATTATTCTTAGTGACTCAGTCAATCAGTAAGTAAGTAAATCAGTCAGTGACTTGGTCACTTAAAGGATTATGGGCTGGCCCTAATATGGTTAAGCAAAACCATCACATACTTTGTGATGCTGTGCAAAGTCAAGTCAGCCTGCTGGCAAGCCTCGAATAAAGCTAGTTACGTTTCAGATTTGATGACCCGAGTATTCTAAATGAACTGCTGTTTAAAAGCACGGGGGTTTTCAATGAGACAAAAGTGGCCCAAGATAATTAACAGATTAAATGTTTCAAATGTTGATTTTTAAGTTTCCCGCTTTTAATTCCAACACCACTCAAATTTGCTCATATATAGCAAAAAATTACAACGAAACGAAAGCAGTCTATAATTGTCAGTACTTTTACGTGAAAAGGGAGGTTTTCTTCCATATTTTGTCTTCAGAGATAACATATTTTCAAGTTCAGCAAGGACAGATACGGATAACATTTTATTACAATGTTCCCGTCACTATATATAAACGGCGCCATACATCCTTTGAAGACCGTTCAGGAGAGCTAACAACAAATTTGCCTCACCGTGGAACACCTTGCCAAGATATTGCTTTCCCCATCTTTTTACTCATCACAGGTCAAGCGAAGCATCCCCAGACTCCTCTCTCTCTCTCTTTGATTTGCTTCTGTATTACTTGCAAGTAGTCACTACCTTCAGTGGCCCTTTTCCATGGATTGGTGATTGCCTTAATAACAAAAACATGAGCGTTGATCTTCCCCGAGTTCATTCTTTTACTACTTACTCGTAAAATTCGGATGCCGGGGACCTGCTGTTGTTGTTGATGATCGTCATATTGAATGGGTCCTGGCAGTCGGCCGTGTTCCACGTGTTGTTGCAGGACGTCCAGGGCAAGACGCTGGTGAAGGAAGAGAAGAGGTAGTAGACGGCCCACGCGATGACTGTGTTGTAGTAGAAGGAGACGAACATGTTGACCACGCAGATGGCAAAGCCGATACCTGTCGGAGGATTGGAGAAAATGGAGATGAGGGTTTGAACGGGTACCTTTCTGGGAGGATTATAGGGGTTTTGATGCTTATGAAAGTGTTGGTGGTAATGGCGGCGGTGATGATGATCATTTGACGAAAACGGTGACAAAGATGAGGATGTTGGTGATGCTGGAATTTATGAGATAACATAAATGTTGGTGTTGATGGTTATTATTTAGAAGAGGATGATATGGTATAAGATCACGATGTTTCGGTGTTGTAGTCGAATGCATCACAAATCCATCACAGGTCCATCACAATCGATTCCCAATTCCTAACACAAGTAACAGGAGGTGGTCATTAAATTAAGACAGAAATACCTTGGTCACATCTCATTTGAATGGCTTGTTAACTTGACTTGAGATGAATGACTTGTGGTGAAGTTGTGACTACCTCGATTATATTCAGACGGTTACGATTAAGACGATGAAAATTAACGGAAGGATAACATTTTCAAATGAATGCCTGTTACATAGCTCATTTGAATGTCTCTGTAGTTCAAGGACTGTATGACTTGTGATTGACTTGTGATTGACTTGTGATTGACTTGTGATTGACTTGTGATTGACTTGTGATTGACTTGTGATTGACTCGACTACAACATTGTGACGCTGTTATAATACCAACAGTTATACAGAAAGTTGACAGAAAGAATAGAACGGCAAATTTTACTGGAGTGAATCAAATGTAAGGCCTCAGCAATGCAATAAGCCTCTGTACCGATGACGTCACACTGCTGGCTCCATAGGAAAGTGCCCATGTAAACAAAGTGTGACGTCATCAGTACAGAGCGTTTTCAGTTTGTTTTGCAAGTGAAGCCTAGCTCGCCTTCTCGCTCCAATATGGTGATGCGTTACCAATGTTCAAAGACCGTATATAGAATTGAATATGAGAATGATGTGCATAACTGAACGAAGGTAGTCATCGTGGAACTGATTGCAACAGAAAGTTAAGTTACTAAAAAGAGACAAACACTATGACGGGAGGGGAACATCATTTTACAGGAGACTTCAGAGCTAGCAGCAGGGGTGCATATAGACCTACCTGTCAGCAGAGGGCAGATTCTATTCCACACGGTGATACACCCAGTCCGCTGGTACTGCCCCAGAGCAAGCTCCAGGTATAACAGAGGTATACCACCAAACACCGCCATGATGGCGTAGGGAATTAAGAAAGCTCCTGGAGAGGGAAACGAAGACAACAAAATATTATAGAGGAGGTAGGAAATTCAACACTTAGAAATAAACAAAGAAATTGACGACTGGAGCGCGGAATTTGAACCTGCAACCTTTGGATTACGGTACCGCTGCTTCCACCCATTAGTTCCCCTCCGTGGTTTATTCGATTAAAATATAATACTAAGGCCAAAAAAAAAAATAAGTTGGTCTCTGGTCAGCGCGCGCGTCGATTTTAATCATGCGCGTCGATCTTTTTTTTTTCCAAAATGTTCCGCGGTAGCTCCAACAGCGCCCTCTATTTCCGCACCTCCTCAATTTTTTTTTACCAAAGAGCACCAAGGAATGGGAAATTGCACCAAGGCAAATGATCGAAAGCACCAAGGCAAATTATGGAGGACACCAATGTACATGAGGACACCAAAAAAGCAAAATAGTATCCCACCTTGTCTGTACAATCCAAGCTTGAAGGAAAAAAAAAAAGAAAAAAGAAAAAAAAAAAAAGCCGCGTGGCCGCGTCAATTCTGGAACTTTGGTCTGACCAGAGACCGAATATTTTTTTTTTTTGGCCTAATATTTTTTTTTTTTTTTCACAAAGTTGTACACTTGACTCGAGGGGTGAATAACACGTGAAAGACTATATTTCGGCGGATGTCTTGCACACGTATATTGACACCGATTGTGTAGCATTTAGACGCACCGTTCTCGGTAATTATTATCACATTTTTCGAACGTATGGTGCCAATAAATGCAAAAACAATGCATCCCCGGAAAAACTAACATTGGAAACACAATCTGCGAGGCGTACAGATCACGCCACTCGTATGAACAGTGATAGCGTGCTCGAAAGATAATCAAGTCCTGATGAAGGCGTATGAAAGGATGGACTGCAGGTGATATGAAGGCGGTTATCATGACTCGTACGGGGTTCTCGAGAAAAAAAAACTTCTGGAAAACAAAACATGAAGTGAAGTTTCAAATCTATGGGCATTATTTAGGCCTATAAGTTGTTATTTAACCCAGTAATACCTCTGTACCCGTGCCTTTTTGACCGTTTAAGTCATGAAAGCCCACGGAATTTTACCAACTGTAATCACAAAATTGGCTGATATTGCTTAGTAAATGCCAAACAATTTGTGATCGCAAATCGTCAATTGAAATTTATCGAGGCAACGACATCGCATGATGATCGGGCCATTAAACAAGTCTGTTAATTGCTATAGCCGGTCCCCACGGCGTGTTCAAGAATAACACTGGCGACCGGGACTAACTACTTGATTCTTTGGTAATCGGTCTCTAGAGTCACTAATCGACATCACAAATTGTTCCTCAGAATTCGCACCTTTTTGGCAACAATAATTAGTTGCCCTCTTGGGAGAATGCAACGCAGTAGAGAGTGATTCAAAACGATGAATCAAATCAGTCCTGCTGGGAACTTGGGCATTTGGACCCGACAAATTCCGAGCATATATGCCTCTATCGCGCCATGGGCCTTATGCACGGGTTGGCCATATTGAATTGAATGTGAGGTAAAATCTTCATTTTTGGAACTTGCGAAGAGAAATGAAAGCAAGTAAATTGCTAATTAATTAAAATCTGCTTCAATGAACAATTTAAATTTTGAAATTAAACGCGCCCTAATGTTTTAAGCCAGATTTTAAAAAACGATAATAAAAATAGGGCTGCATAAATAGTCTGGCGCCATCCCATTCAACAGTTAACAAGTTATGAAATACATTGAGGGAACTCGACAAAAATGGCCAACTCGTACGTGCATAAGGCCCGTGTTCAAGCTTAAGTGTGCGCGTGTGAGGTAGGCTCAAAATTCCTCGGTCCGAGTGCCAAGTTCCCAAGCCTGGACCTTATTCATCATCGCGCATCCTTCCAGACACAAAACCAAAACTCCGGCGTTTTTTGGACCAATACTATATGCCTCATATAGGTCGACAGCAACAATGCAGTCCTTTAGCGATGTCTGGTTGATTTCATTCGCAAGAAGACAGTTTCGTAAATCGAAAAGTTGGCCCAGAAAACTACATTGAGATAGGCCTAATTGAAGACTACGAATATTAAAGAAAATATAAAAAATAACCATATACTAAAAATCGGTGAACAGTTATACCACACAATCCAAAATATTTAGTATAGGGCCGGCAGTCCAGGATGGATCCAAAGGTGGCTGGGTGGCGAACCCCATCCATGATCAATCTCAATCAAATTGACCAATGGCCTCAACTTCCCTGATTTTTTTTATTTATTTATTTAACAGGTTTTTTAAGGGTAGCCCCATCAGTTGTCTAATACTGTTCTCCCTTGGAGTCCTTCATCACTCAGTATTGGAAATGTTGACTCGTTGTTTTAGGCGTATTGTCTTCTTACGCGTTGACTGCATGAAAAGCCTCATCCACCCCTTGCAATCTTGGACTTCACCCCCATACCAGCCACCCCACTGGATCCGCCACTCATGTACTGCATGGTTCGTGCTTTCTGAGTCATTTAAAGTTGGTATATTATACGTGCTTTTTTCAAATTTCGATTTTCTTTTCCGAACGAAATTTAATGGAATATAATGTCCTGTAACAAATAAATTTGCTTGTTTGTTTTTTTGCAGGCCTTTATACAGTTTTAAAAAGTGGTTTTAAATGGCGCGTTCAAGTTCAGAAATTGCACACACTATTATTCAGAACGAATTAGGATCAGGAGTGCTCCGCTCTTAATTCAAAAGTTGAAATTAATTAATTGATTACTTGTCGTGGGGCGATTTTTTTTTCGTGCGATGTCTCATTGGAAAGCTCTTTACTAATGTAATGCTAGAAAATTATCAATTCAATTTGAAAATCTATTTTTTCAAGGTGCCACGCCCAAAAGCATGTATATATATACCAACTTAAAAAAAAATCGGAAGGTTGCCTATGTCAACTCGGGGGAGTCCGACCCAGTGTATTACGGCGAAGTCTCCGAACGAGCTTTCGAGGGTCAGCAGATACAGCTTAAAAAAAAAACTATTAGCTGAAATTGACCCCATTTCCCCATCCAAAATAGCTATGTATTCTATCTGTTCACCCTAGCGCCTGACTCACCTCCTCCATTCTTGTAACAGATGTAGGGGAATCGCCAGACGTTACCAAGATCCACAGCGAAGCCAACGACAGACAGCATGAAGTCCAGCTTGGAGTCCCACTTTTCCCGGTCCACTGAGCGGGACAGCGTCTGGGCCTGCCCCGTCTCAAGCTGCATCAGCTCCGCCTTGGTCGCCGGGGCTGGCTCGCTCGACTCGGCCCTGCTGCTGACGAGGGGACCGAGTCCCTTGTGCCGCTTCAGCCCCACATCCCCGGAGTCTTCTGCCTGGTGCACCGCGTTTGCAAGCAAACCACTGGTCGAAAGCTGGGCTTCTAGCGGTTTATTGGAGCTTGCCATTCCAAATCACTTTAACTAGTTCTGTCAATAATGAAACATGAGGTGAAAAGTTAACACACACGAAAGAAATTCAAAATTTGATATTTTTTTTCCGCCAACTTGAAGGCAGCTTTTTAAATTGTCCAACTTGAGTTGAAGACATACCAGATCCAATGCAGAACTGAACAGAGCAATACACGAGTGTGGTTCTTATATTATCTACCGTTTGACAGATAATGCTATTTATAAAATATAAGACGAACCAATCAAAGCCCAAGGATTCATTACTGCCTGTTTTTGGAAAAGTCTCTTTTCCCGTCATCCAATCAACAGGCACCCCGCACACTAACGAAGCCCAAGGGATGGAACTGCTCGGTGATGACACTAGGCGTGTTGAGCGCGGCACTGCACGGGCGCCTTTCGCGGTCTTCCCCGGGAAGAAACCGTCAGACTTCGCGCTCTTTTCCGTGGTAATTAAGATGGAAAAAAATATCGGGAACAAGTAAGACAATAGACACTGGTGACGAGGAGTGGTTTCTACGTGTCAAGTAATTGCGGCCGAATGGATCATTGTCGCCTTCGATAAAGTGATTCATGTTGTTGCGTATATATCGACACTGAACTGTTAACATTTGACAAGTTTTATGTTATGGGGTTCATGGGCCTATGAATGTCATAGCTTCACGGGAACTCGGAAGATTCAGCGTACAGCACGTACTCATTTTCTTCATCTGCATGGGCGTCGCGGGGGGGGGGGGGGGCAAGGGGGCGCTTGCCCCCCGGACAAGCCAAAAAAATGTTTTTAAAAAAGGAGGAGGAAGGAAAAAAAGAAAGAGGCGCAAATTCATATTTTTGTTAATTTAATGGGGGGGGGGCAAATGTCCCTGCCCACCCTTGAAAAAATGATCAATCGGGAAAATGTTGGAAAAGATATTGATTTGGGGGGAAATGGGCTTTGTCCCCCTCTAGAAAAAAACTTCTGGCGACGCCCATGTTTATCAGTGTGTATATCTTCATTGAATATCGAGCATCTGGCGCTTTTACGGCTGGGGGTTGGGAAAATAAAAACGGAACTAGAACGGAATTGTTACATTTTCTGTTAAAAGTCCGATCTGGAGGGAGTTAAGTTTGATTTTTTTTTTTTTTTAATCGTTATAAAATGCCCGGACTCTTGCACTGTAAAGTTGGGCAAAATGGGTTGAGAAGTCGACCAATGCTGGTCGAATGATCAACTGCATGGCAACACTCTGGGGATTTTTTCACCAATAGTTTGACAGTTTTTACTGAATTCAACCCAGTAGGCCTATATAGTTATGCTGGGTAAATAATATTGTCCAACAGTGTTTTATCTAACCTTTTTACAGTGAATTGTTATTAGAGTCCGACTTAGAGATCGTCAGTTTTCATTCCTCGAGTTTCTATCTTCCCTCTACAGGGTGAGTAAAAAAAAAGCGAAAATTGTCGGGACCGTTGTTATTGTGAAGTTCTGCATGTATATCAATATCTAGGATACAAAAGCCCAATTTATAGGCTTTCAATAAGTACAAGAATCATTCAAATCACTCATGTACTTTTCAAATTACGGAACTTTAAACACAACCACCGTTTTGAAGTTCTGTCCACGGCTTATAAATACAAGAAGTTCAGTGTTCTTTCAGCAAAACGAAAACAAATTACATAGGGATGTGTGTGATTTGTTTTCGTTTTGCTGACAGAACGCACACCTTTTTTTTGTGATTCGTGGACAGAACTTTAAAACGGTGGTTGTGTTTAAAATTCCGTAAATTGAAAAGTACATGAGTGATATACAAGATTTTTGTACTAAAAGACAGCTGAAGAATTTGGCTTTCATATCCTAGATTTTGAAAGTGCTACATGCAGAACTTCAAAAAAACAATAGTCCCGACATTTGGGTTTCGTTTTTTTTTACTCACCCTGTAGATTTCCTTGTCACGACCAGAATTGTTCATGTTCCCGGCCTCAAATCTTGTCATAATTCAAGTGTTTTGTCAACAGTGTCAGTTTCGCTGTGATTACATGTTTTCTTTTTCGTTAGTTTAGCATGGTCTTTCTTTGACCTTGTTTACAAATCTCAAGTCCATCCTTCATCAGACAAGAAAAAAACCCAGTTATTTGAACACAGTGGATTTTTCACATTAAAGGTCATAGGATCATTTGCCTTTTGTGCATTTTTGTCATTTGAAGATACAAAATTGATCGAACATCTTTAGAAGGGTGCATAACTAACACTTGTTGATGTTTCAGCTCATTCGATACTATACATTTTTAGAAAACGGAGAAAACGTATACACACAATTTTTGGGGGACAGGTAACTGGATTCCGCACGTAAAACACAACTGTGCCCGGTAGTACGTTTACGGGTAATTCCAAACGTTTACGTGCCTTTAAAGTAGAAGAAAACCCCAAAGAACAGAAAATAGTGTACATACCTGCAGAAGGAGTGCAACTATAAATTCTCACTGTCTTTTTCATCCGATATGAAAACGCTGTTCTGAATTCACACAACCGTTGAACCCACGAAACTCAAGTTTCAACGAACAACATGGGTAGTGACTACATGCAGTGTGCAAGAAACGTCGTATGTAAAATATGTTCAGACAAAGAGAGCACAAAAATAGATTTCCACCTTTCATGTGTCGAGCTGGAGTGTTTACAGAGCTGTTCAGTTTATGTGAACCGAGGTTCTGAGTTCACAACCAAAGCCGAGTCGGTGCGGAAAGTCAAAGCGATTGCATTGCGTACCAATGTCAGGGCCAGCAGTGGGCGTTTATTATCATGCCGGTGGCGCACACACATGATCTTGAATGTCAAGGCGCATGACTGTGGTTTTGCTGTTCTTGGGGTATTTTACTGTGGGGGCCTTTTATTCTTGTTCTATTTTGGGACATCTGTAATTGGCGCCTTGAAAGTTGATTCTAAGGTCAGGGACACGTATGCCATGGACAGGTCATTTTCGGTAGGTTTTACCATCTGAGGGTGAAGGTGAAATGACCAACGGAGAAGGCCTAAATTGGTTCAAACGAAAGCACCCGTGTTTGTTGAATGCATTTTAACCGGAGTGGGAAACTGAAGCGATATATTTGGGGATTTCGGACCAAATATTATGTCTCTGATGTTCTTCATATAACCTGCTGCACTCAGTGCACATGCATCCTCCAACACATCGTCACCGACACCACGAATTGACACCCTCTGCATCACGTGTACAAGTTGTTTTTTTAAACTCAAATTTTCTTTTTTTGCACATATTAGCAGTTTGTATCATGAAGTTTAACATGACAAAGTTAAAATTGCTGAAATCATCTAAAATAAGCAAAGTTTACTAATGAATTTTCAAGAAATTGGTCAATTCTGGTACATTTTGTTACCACGAAGTGACCCTGCATAGGGTGTCAGTTCGTGAAAACAAAAATTTGCGTGTTTTCGGAGAGTGCGCGCATGCAATAGCGTTAGGGAGTGTCAGTTCGTAAAAAACGAAAATTGACGTGTTTTTGGAGAGTGCGCGCACGCATTCGCAGTGTGTGCGTGCACTCTCCCAAAACGCGTCAATTTTGGTTTTCACGAACTGACACTCACTAACATTATACAACACCTGAATAAATCCCCGTCATCTGATTGGTGAATTGTAGATCACGTGACATATTATTATTCGGTATAATGCACGGTGCGATCATGCGTTATACCCATGCGTTATATACCGTTTCACTTTGCGCTTGTTCCATGACGCGGTATTTGCGTGCAAAATGCATGCTGGTGTGCGCGTTCAGCGTAGCGCGTATTGTTCCAAAGAGCCAGCGCTACAGCGTTGGGTTCAAACATTTTCGTGAAGGGGTAGTTCAACATCTTTAAAATCAAAATAAATTGTAGTTTATAATAATTTATTTACCAATCAAATGACGAGAATTTATTCAGGTGTTGTATAAAACAAATAACGAATGTTTTACGTTCGTGCGATGGAAAGAATAATTTCATTCGGTGACAGATTGAATGTTCTATTTCACTCGGCTTCGCCTCGTGGAATAGAACATTCAATCTGTCACCTCATGAAATTATTCTTACCATCGCACTCACAAACATTCGTTATTTGTATACTATCGCATGCGTGCACTCTCCAAAAACACATAAATTTTCGTTTTCACGAACTGACACCCATCTTAATCATTTAATTGCTAATTAACTAAGCAGATTTTCACAATATAACGTTTATAATTGAGTAGTTTAAGCATTTTCACGTTAAGTGATACTAAAACCTCTAAGAAAGATGGAATATTTTACTGAATAAATTCGTGTCAAACCTTTAAAAGCGTTTTTCTCCGATTTGTATTTATGCAACGCTGACCACCGGGTGTCAGTTCGTGGTGTCGGTGACGACATACACGATACCACTCACTTATCTATATATATAAGAGAGAGATTTACTCGGCCTCCGAGACGATGTTTGCTCCTTAAAGGATCCGAGACCGCGGGCTCCCGCGGCGCCAAAATCGCTCCACGTCCGTGGAAAAATGCGGAGGGTGTCTTCCGCCGGGTAGGGCACTTTGGGTCGTCCTAATTTTCCCGTACGGACCGGCGATCCGTTTCGTCGATTTTTCGTGACTGCGTTTTGCACAGGAATTTGCCATCGTGTGCGCTTGTGACGTTGACTGCCTGGCCGCCCCCTGTGCTGGCTTTTCTGCGAGTCCAGACTGTGCAAGGCAGTGGCGTAGCCACGGGGGAAGGGGGGGGGGCGACAGTCCCCCCATGAAACCTTGTCGCCCCCCAGTCGCCCCCCACTGAGATTTTGAGTTTCTAAACAAATTATCATTGATCTACATGACGCCCCCCATGAAATGTTCCAGCCCCCCCCCTCCCCAGCGCCCCCCACTGAACAATTCATGTTTACGCCACTGGTGCGAGGTCAGCGGCTTCAACGTAGGGCTTCCGTTTACGTGTTCTACAAAAGTGTTCACCAAACGGTAGTATGGGGTGACCTTGGCAAAATATTTTTCTCCATGGTGGGTGGCCACCACGTGTCCCTACTGTTTCCTATGCTTTGCTTGCCGCCCCTGCGCCGAGTGCAACGAATACTCAGAAGGACTACACATTAGTATGCCTTGCGCGGTCTGACCAATCGAAAGTCTACACTGCGTAGTACTTCCGAGCTATGCGTAAAACCGTCGATGGCAACGCGTACTGCAGCCTACTCCACACCCTGGAAACAAGGTTGGGTCTACGGTGCTCGCTATTTGAAGC